AAGAATACATGTGTCCCGAATAGTTTTAAATCAGTAATGTCTATGTGTATTATCCAGATGGGCAAGAATCCTGGCCCCACAGACATTAATCACCCAATGTAGTCAGCGAGGTCAGAACTCTACCCTGAGACTCTACTTTTTAAAAAATAGTTCATATTTCTGACATTTTTATATACACTTAAATAGCACAGACTTACGGACTTCCTGTGCTGTGCCTATGTATAATATATATTATCTTTTATAGTGGTACTTACGCTAATGATTTATAAAAGCTTTCAGTGATTTACAACACTAAAGAAAGGAGTTTCTAATTTCTCTTTATTGTCCTGTTCAGGGATCACTCCATATGTTGCTCTACTCTGTCCACTGTAAAAGACTGAAGCTCCGTTCTAGTAGAATGACATGTCTTAAGTGTCTGATTAGAGCAGCCCTATTCCACAAAATAAGTGGGTGTTTTTAAGATGGATGCAGTGGCACTGCATTGTTTCGCAGCATGGACTAATAAAGGCACCATTTTTTATTTTCTTTTCCTTTAAAATGTTCTGGTTTAGAGATTGGTTGATTCATGTGGCTTATGTTTGCTTGGAGGAAAAGGACAGAAAATATGCATAAAGCTAGAATTCAGTGGCAGAACTGCAGACTGAGCTGTAACGCCCAGACACTCCCCAGTGAGCTACAAAGGCAGACAGGTCTCCTGCTCTCAAGTTTTTTTCCCAGCAAAAAATGATCTGGTAAGTTTGTGAACCGGACCCCTCTGGCAACTGCATCTTCTGCAAGAGCCTTTTTTAAATTGTATATCATGCCATATATACGTATATGCATGTTTCCTTGATTATTGTATTTGATAAGATTTTCTTTTTTCTGGGCTTTACCCAAATACTTGCCTAGTGTTGAAGTAAGAGAACGTGATATCAGAGTTTTTCAGATTTGTGTACTGAAATCTCTGCTGCTCACATCATCAGAAAGGAAGTGTGAATTGTCTATATAAACCACCCATCACTGCCATTGCTCACAGCAGTGCTGGCCTGTTAAATAAACTTTGCGGTAGAAACAGTTTTAAAATTCCTGTTGAAGCCCTCCCCCAAGCTTTGTTAAACAAACAGGTCACACTTTCACCAGTTCAAACCCTAGGAACTGTGGATGTGATGCAATTGTTAGAGGCATTTTTAAAAATTTAAGAATGAAAAAATAAATAAATAAATTAAAACCCTAAGTTTGCACCCAAGTATGCATCTATGTATGTGTCTGACCTTGTATGTAAAGCTGTTTCAGCTGTGGTGCTTATGGATGATTAGAATTATACCATTGTATCCCTTTCCTTGATCACAAATCAACATAACGCATTATCTTGATTCACAGTAACTTCCAACTTTGATGTTATATTTAATAAAACAGTGCTCTGCTGGAGAATCCCTCGGAAATCTTTAATTCCTTTTCTTTTTTAAAAAATATATATTACATTTTAAATGGGATTAAATTGTCTGATTAATGAAGCCTGGCTCTTGCTGTAGCAGATAAACCCTGAATTCCTCAGGGCAATCTACAGCCATTGTTGAAGCATCTTTCCAAGATGTGGGCAAGCTCAGCAAACCCCATGAGAGTCGAGCAAAATATTTTCCTCATGCTGAGGCTGGTTTCATGCTGCAACCCCAACCTTTTCTTTGTTCATTCATCTTCCTCTATGCAAACGTTGCTTTTGCCTGTAGAAATGTTAGTAAGGCTGCACAGTAAAGTCAGTGACAGAACTGACATAAGTTTTGAAAACCAAGAGTGTCCCTGCCACTGCAAACCAAGAGCTCTGTGGAGAACTGCCAGCACAAATTTATGGGCTTTGAGAAGCTGTGCTGCCACAGAGCATCATTCAAAGGATGTGGCAAGGCCACCTTCAGACAAAGTCCCCACCAGGTACAATTGCTCCTTACGGTGCACAGGCTTTGTGCTTCCTTAAGGTGGGGTAGCATCATTGTCTATGAGTATCCAAGCAGTGTCAGAAAACTGGTCAGAGACCAAGAAACAGGGCACTCAGCCTGGAAGAGCCAAGATGGTAATATACAAGGCATTGGCACCACCCCTGTGCCCAAACAACCCTTGAACAAATGCTTGGTCAGGCTCATGAAGTACACGATGAGGAACATCAGCAACGTAAGCTACTTGCTGTCACACCACAACCAAGGAAGGCAGAGAAACTGCTCCTTTGTGCCGGCTAGGAAGAGACGTCGCTAAGCAGTAGTTCAAACTCAGGCATGGAACTAGGATTATCCTGTTGAAAACACTTCTGGGAAATGCTTAAAAGCAATTAAAAGCAGGTGAGGCTACACAGGGTGGGCCGAGACAGGAACAGACTGGGGCAAGAGAAGAAGAGTGAGTCTGACAGGCAGGTGAATCTCCCACACTCTTCTTATGCCCCAATAGCTTCCAGTGGGGACAGATCTGCTGCTTGCCCTGCTGTAATTTCTGCAGCATCCAGCCTGTGTCCACAGTAGCTCACCCTATGCTCAATTGCCTCCAGCAGATTAATGGGGGCAATTGAAGCCTGATAAACTCTGGCTCAAGATGGTTAGACAGCTCTCACAGAGGAGGAACAGCCTGTCAGGCAGTTAACAATAGCCTTGAGAACCTGGGGCTGTGTCATTATGCTGTTTATTACATTTTATAAAGACTGCATATTACAGAGGTAACATTGTAGAGTTGTACAGTGACAGGCCAAGCAGCTTTTGCCGTACTGCAAGCATAGGAAAAATCTTCACCACTTTGGCTTTTATTGGCTAACAAAATGGTTTTTCAAACGATCACTGCATTATGCAAGAAGAAAAATTAAAAGTCAAACTGACTAGCAAAATAAAAATCCAGATTAAAAGACATAAACACAAAAGACCTTTTAGCTGGCTAGACTTCTGCCTCTTGATTTGTTGGGCTTTTAATATTTCTTTAGATATATATATATATATAAAACATTACTATAAAATATACTTCTAAGCCTGTAATCTGTTGAATAATACTAAATAAAAAGTTACAGGTAACACCACCTGATTATTTTATAAATAATTCAAGCATTTAGTGTCATGATACATATGTACCTAAAGAATTCTAAAGTCCCCTTGCACAGAGCAAGAGGCAGAGCTTTATAACATAGCTGGGGTTTTTGGTCCTTCAGCATCCAGACCCAGCTTGGTCACCATTTATGTACCTATGCAGTTTACACAGGTGAATAGAACCTCTGCTTTTTCAGAGAGCTACTTGTGGATGTAAAGCTAGCTTCTTCACAATGCCATCAGCAGAAATACAATGTATAAGGTGGTGTTCTAGCATTTTCAGGGTTGGGTCACAAAAAGATGGAACAGAACAGCATGGCATGGCATGGCATAGTATGTATGGAATGGCAAGGCATAGCATGGAATAGCATGGAGTAGCATAGCATAACAGGTTTACTTATTTTCAGAACCCAAATAAGAGGACATGGGACAGGAGAAGAGCTTGTTGCATTATGTCTACACAGTAGAAAAATATCTCTTCAAATTTACACAGGTAAAAATGTTTTATTCAGTGATCCTTACCCTCCTGATCAGTGGGACAGAAGATTTCTGAGCCAAAAGGAAGAAACAATTCTCAATATCATGGCAAGTAAAAAAAAAAAATAAAATTAAAGGCCCTGGGAGAAGAATATATATGATGAAGGATCTGTTTGCATAGGTGTGATAAGTGAGCCTGATGGGAGCACAGTAAGGCATTGCTAGCATACACCCAGGAGGCACGATACAAAAATAAAGCAGGGCAGGGAGTCAGGCAGAACAGGGACAATGGGTAGAGCCCTCAGAAACCAGCACTATATTTTAGCCATCTTTGGTGACCAAGTTTTAAGGATGTGTTTAATTACCTTCTGCTTTGCTTTTCAAATGGTACCTAAATAGCTGACTCTAAAATGAACTTTTAATTGCATCAGTGGCTGTTTGTTTTGAGGTAAAAAGAAGGCAGATGAGGCAGGCTAGAAACCTTGCATGGACATATGCAAGGCTGAAGCCCAAGGCACCAAAAATCTGAGCCAACGGCAAGGATCCCACAAACTGGGACCAATGTGCCAGCCAGCAAGAACTTCTGGCTTTCCTGACAGAGTGTAGGCCCCTCTAAATGGCTAAAATCAGGGTGCAAAATCTGGTCATGCCCTCTCTTCCTCCCTCATAGTGCATTTCCCCCAAACCCGCCATCTCTCAGTTATTCCCACAGCCTGGGACCAGGACCCCTGCCTGCTGCAGGAGCTGCCCTAGCAAGGATGAGACAGTTTTGCTGAGGTGCTGTGCTGTTGTGAATATGCATACCACAGTTCAAAACCCCTTGGTATTAAATGTTAAAGAAGCCTAGCGAGAGTGACATTTAAGGCAGCAAGCATCAGGCATTTTAGAAAGAAATTGCTATGCAGCACAGAGAAACAACCCCATAAACCACAAAATTAAAGAATCTCTCCCACTGGAAAATAGCCGTGAGAGAGGAATTCTTGGAAATACATCTCTGATCTGAGAGATAAAAATAGAACACTTAAAGCTGACTGTTGTGAAATTGGCTTTGCATAGTCCAGTAGTTTAGAAAGTTTAGATAAGTGTTTGAGTTGATGTCCTGACTTTTCTGAGGACAGTGACCATATTGGTAGTACCTTCAATGGGGCCAGGCTGTCACTGCTGCACTTTGGGCTGTTGATCCAAAGCAACTAACATAAGTCGCATCAGTGCTAAGGAACTTTCCCATTAATAGGAGAATTGTATCATTTTGCTCAAGACCCATTTCTTTGTTTTAGGAAAGTCTCTATAAAAATACTGCCATCAAAGTTTATGTGAAAAATACCTCCAGGAAAACAATTTACTAGTGACTATTCAAATGACAAAGTGTAATCCACGGACCTCAGGAACAGAGCTGTCTCAGAGGACACAAAAGTGCTTTTCCTCTCAAGACTGACTTTTTCAGGGAAAAATTGAAAAAAGAAAGTCCTGATACCATAAAACATAATACTTTGTTACTAAGAAGTGACAACAGCACCTTGAGTTCAGAAATGTCTGCTTCCTTCTCTCTGAAGGGTAGCTTGAGGGCCTGTATCTTTCCATAAATTATGGTTCCATTATGACACCCTACTTTATAAAGAAACAGAGGAAACTAACCCCATATTCAAAAACTTAGCTTCAGTTGAACCTTCCTCCACCTTGACAGCTGGACAATATTTAATCAATCCTTGTAAAAAAAAGTTTATCATGCTAAATTGTTATCTATATTGATAGAATAAAATTTAAGCAAATAGAAGAATTTATACTTTTTGTATATATCTATAAATGTATATATATAAGATACATACATAGATTTGCAATAATTAAATCAGTCTAAAAAACTCTCCATTTGAAACAATTCTATCATGTAAAAATGAATTAATGCACAAGGTATAAATAAATAGCAGTTAAATACATATCTTTTTTGCTAGGGAAGAAAGGGCTGGTTTTGGTTTCCCTCCCTCCTTAGTAATAGTTATGGGTTAAAGTCTTTCTGCTGCAATAAAATGTTTGGGGTTTTTTAATGAATATTGTTAGAAATCAAATAAAAAACTCAACTGGCCTGCATGTATATTGTATTTAAAAGTTCTCTGCTCCTGAGCTGATCTTTTTTTATTCAGACAACTTGAATGCTGCTGCCCCTGTTTTCAGTCATACTTTCTTCTTTCATTAAAATCGAAAGCCACCCTGCCCTGTCTAGAACATGAGGACAAACATGCACACTAGTAACATTCCTCTGTAAGACCCAGACACTAAGAAATTCCTAGATTAAAACTGGTATAGTATTTCAGGCTTAAAAATTAATGTATGTGAAGCTACCTTCAGCACAAGGTAAAAATCACCCCTTAGGAAAAAACTGCCCACACTGTAAATAGGAATAAGTGCTGTACTGTTTCTAAGTATCATGATGCTGGGAATTCCCTCTGCAAGCCTCTGATTTTCACCATACCCTGATTTTTATCATAAGCTGTTCTAAAATTAGAAGAGGCTATGATCTGACAAGTATGCTTTCTGTTTAATCCTAGCAGATGGAAACCGTAAGGTGCTTTCTCAGTTTGAAACTGTTCCAAAACCTAAGGCACTAATCTGACATATTAAACCTAATTTATATAAAGTCTTGTGTGTCTTTACATCATGCAACATCATTTATGGCATGCTGGGCAGTGACAGTTCAAGTTATGAAAATGCTGTATCACACAGTAGATCAGAGCTGCTTTATAGCAGGTCTCATGAATTCCTTCATCCAGAAAGAATAAATTTTGCGTGGGAGCATTCTGCATAGCACCCCTGCAGAGCAATAGATTAAAACTGGATTTTAGCATTTACCTTTGGCCCAGCTATAAATCAGGAACTAGAACTGATAATGGCAGTTATCCATCAACAGCAGTGCAACTGAAGATGAGCGGGAGTAGTTTTATGGATAAAAAAGAAAACCTATCCTCTTCCATTTTGAGTGTTTCTAGGCTCCGAATAGAGAGTGATTAGATTCATGCAGGTAATGAGCACGAATAAGGGTGATGCATTTGAAGTAACAGCTCTCCAGGTTGCAAAATGTTATTCTGAAACTCTAGCGGCAGGCTTGAGCTCAGGTGCAGCAATTTACATTGCAGACCCCTCTTGACAGAAGACCTGGAATGGACATCTACCACAGCCGGCAGGATTCTGTCCCTCGGTTCATTGTTGTATTTGCTGGGCAATTGAAAGCTTTACGGAACTCTTCAAAGTTGCTCATGGCACCGATAACTCTGCAAAGAAAGATAGAAGTGATTGACATGCAGACTGTCTTCAGTTAAACACCACAGGCATGTGAGTGTGTGTTTCAGTGTGTTGACTTCAAGTTTAATTTTCAGGCTTTCCATATATTTTTTCCAAAAATAAACCAAAAAAGTTCAGGAGAAGCACGCCCAGTTAATGTGAAGATAATATTGTTCCATTCACTGCTTTGAGAAGCATCTTACTTTGCTAGAAACTTGACGAAACAATTACAACCTTGAGACTATGCCATTTAGAGCAATCTGACCCTTGACAGCAGACGTGGGAGATCAGCGGTAGCCTTGCATGATAGAATCCTTCTTCCAGTACCTGCCAAAACGCTGCAGTCCAGCAAGCAAGAGTGTGTAAAGACACATCATGACTGTGCTAGGAGTGGTTTGGTTTGGCTCATGCAGCCAGGTTCTTGTAACAACATCCTCTGTCCACCTGTGCACACACACACACGCTGGCTCCCTGGGACTTTGCAGCCTGAAGTTGGGGGCAGAGGGGGGCACACAGAGCCTCTCTTGTTGGCTAGCTCAGTCTTACCTTATGAGCATCTCAACTCCTCTGACATTTTGGAAATACATTTCCTGAGGCTTCTGCCCTGACCAGCTCTCAAGCTCTATTGCTTGCACCACAGATGGTGTGTTATTGAAAGAGCAGCACATCACTGCCTCATGCAAGCTAGACAATGCACCTGCACCGGAGACTGGCACTTTCAGGCATAGAGGAAAAGCTTGCTCTTTGTATGCAGTCATCCTTGGCTCCTGCTTTCATGTCTGTATTATTTGATGCTGTCAGAAGGTGTTATTTTACCATTGCTAGTTTGGGGTTTTGGTGTTTGCTGATTTTTCCTATGCTTTTAAACAACTTGGAATTTACTAACCTGAAATATGTTAGAGTAAACAGCATTCTGAGTTAAAAGCAAAGAAGTATTGACTGAGACATTAATTATATGTCTTTTCGCCCTCTCTGCTATTCAGTGGGAAGGCATTTTTCTCCATTGCAGACAATCAGCTTCTCAGTGTAGCTCAGCATGGTAGCAAACATTCTTATTATATTGATAGACTTTATGTGAGTAAGAAAATTTGCAGTCAGCTGCCACAAAAAATGTCTAAAGGTCAGTTTTGTAGGTAGAATTACAAAGAAAGAGATATATAGTTTTATCATAGCAACATTGCAAATACATGTTCAGGGACTGGAACAGCGAGAGCTGGTCATGTAGAACCAACTGCTGCTGAAGTTGGTGGGAGTTCTGCCTGCCATGCCAGGGATTTTCCTCTGAAACTGGCATTCAACTACAGTGAAGACACACGTTAATACTGAAAATATTAGAATATAGTCAGAGAAAGATTATAACATGCCCACACACATGACTTTTCTACCCATGGTTTGATACTGTCACAGATTAACTGTGGAGTCAGAGTGGGTTGTCTGGATTTCATCCCACTGAACTACAGTAGAGACACCTTCCCCTGCATGGGTCACCCTGAGCTCCCTTGGTGGTCAAAAGAAACATTTACTTGCACAGTCTAAGTAATCTAAACTTACTACTTACAGAAAGATGATAGACATTGATATATTTCCACAATGCCTGTTCTTTTTTTTTGGCTGTGAAAACCTGGAGTGACAAACTCAGACGCACAGGCCTATGCTCAGGATATGTGTTGCTCATCTCTTACGGCTTTTATAGTTACTTTTTATAATTACTTTAAAAAGGACTGTTTGGGTTTTTCGGATAGCAGGAGCTGTCAATGTTGAAACTAGCTGTACAGCTGTGACACTCATAATGGTCTTGGGACATAAAGCTGAAGGAAACAGATAATATGATTTGTTAGCCCAGCTGATATGATTCGCAAGAACAGACAAGCATCACAGTTTCTCTTCATGTCTGAAACAGAAACCTGTACTGAGTATCTTATATAAAAACTGAGAAAAAATTTTGTCTGTATTATCTAGACCCCAAATTAATCTAATTTTCTCTGGAATTTTCTTTCTTAGCCTGATTTCTTCATAAGCTTTCCCCATGAATGCTCTCTCCCCAGGCTTCCTTGTATATTTTGGGATTTGCACCATCTCATGGGAATGTAGCTATATAATGATTCAGAATATATAATCACGTGTATAGGTAAATAGATCTGAGGACTTTAAATGGCAGGAGATAGTTACTTTACCAAAATCTTACCAAAGGTAGGAACCATTGAAAATATACCAATCTGTAGGCTGGAGATCAGCCTGAGACTTCTGTCCTCATTGTCATGGTGTACTTTCAATTCTTAAAAGGCATGTACATTTGCACATGCACTATATTTACCCTTGCTACCGATATTGCAAAGGTATTGCAAAGGCACAGCAGTGCACGTTTCAATGCAGAGTTTACAAGTCTACCAAGACTGAGAATACACACCTGCAGTTAGTTTATATTAATTTTTTTTGTGTCATCATGTTTCCAGCTTCATTATTTCTTAACCCATTCTGGTTATAAGTAGCCTAAGGCATGTTATACATGCCAATTTTATACCTTCAGCTTTGATACGGCTGTGTCCAGGGAATATTTCAGAGTACTTGTGAAGCAACTCCACAGCTCCCCTGTGAAGGCACTGTTGCTATTTCTAGTTTACCAAGAGATAGCTGAGGCAAAGAGGGCTTATATCACCTAAAGTAACTCATGGAGAAGGTGGAATCCCAGCTCCCTCTTTAGTCAACAGAAAGCGGCAGGAATTTCCAGAAGGCAACTAATCCAGTGTATTAGAGATATGAATCAGCTTGGGAGTTAACAACCTTCCTTCAAATACAGTGGTAATGTAGCACCCAACTGAGGATGAGCACACAATTAGGTAAATGCAACCAATAAGAAACTCAATAGAAACAACTAGCTCTCGGTCACATGAACTCTGTGGAGAAGCGGAGAAATAAACATTGGCTTCTTAATTCTTATGTAGTCTTTAAACCTTCCCTCTTTTCCAGCCTCTCCTTCTTGGGGTTCATGGATGTCTGTGGCTGAGTAGCCTGTGGGAGGCCTTTTGGGCAAAGACACAGACACTTTGTTATGGCAGGACTATCACAGCTCCTTCAAGCAAAGTGTATATTGAAGGCCAGTTGAAGAGTTTAATCTCAAACTGAATTTACAGGGCACGTTGGTAATAATTTTAAAGCTTTTAATGAATTCAGAAAGATTAAATCAAAGACCCTCAATATATACAACTAGAATTGCACAGGGGAAAAAAAATAAAGATGAGACATTTTAGATACTCAGGCCATAATTACAGGTTATCACAGGGATCAGAGTGTCTTATGGTTCAACTGCTTTTGAAGGTATGTGCAAGCCCTTCATTTTTACAGAAGAGCAATTGTAATAGCACTAGATAACCTTATAAAACCAGTTCCATTTCAATCTAAGCCAAGAGCACACGCCGATTTTGTTTGCTTTTAAACCTCTCTTTAACATGCTAAATTTCTGCACTTTGTGCTGCAGTGACAGGTTCTGTATGTACACTGAGTAAATGCATTATTTGCAGTTACCTGAACTCAGGAGGGCTGTGAGCTCCAGCATATATTTGCTCTCTTGCAGATTCTGGTCTAAAGGAGTTGCACCTTACCTGATAAAAGACAAAAAGCAGGAATAGGCATGTTACCTGGGATGACTTCATAAGCAAAGCAGAATGTAAAGCCACTGTTTTTAAGATGCCTATTACTTATAGAATGCACAAAACAGAAAACCACCAACTTGTGTTTTGTTTCACCTTTGCTAACTTGCAGGTTTCTGTTGGCATATTCTCTTGGTTTTCGAATCTTGCAATGGATCCAGTCTTCATCTGCTGTTATTCTTCACCCACTCATTCCTGTCATTGGCTCATAGCCACTTTACCAGTTCTTTTTCTGAATTTCTCTTCAATGGTAGCTTGCTTTTCAGCTTATGCTGCAGCATCTTATGCCTTAATAATTACCAAGCCTCCTTCTTAGTCTCAAAGCTATTACATATAATGGTGCTTATCATGTCTAGAATTGCAGTTATATTACCTGATGTATTTGTTCCATGTTGGAATGTCAGTTCTTTTGAAATTACACATTTTTCAAGTTTATATCAGTGGTACCCAATTTACTATTCCTGTTACAATACTTGACACAATTGTAACTGACCATAAAACAGGCTAGAGAGAATATTTGCACATCTGAATAATTCCTCTTATGCTATATCCATTACATGAAAAAATCACATTTAACCAGCCCCCACCTTAACTAAACTCTATGCTGAATGTTTCTTATTGACAACATCCTTTAAGACAGACTGCCCATGAGATATGCAGACTTCATTACAATTTTGGCTGGCTGAAGACAGCCCTGGCAGTTTGAATGAATCTGTTGGGTGACTTGAACTCTGTGGAAATAAGCTGAGCTCAAGGGTAACTGGCACACACTGCTCTCACTGTGCATGTGCTTCCCATCAGAGGGTCCACTGGACATATGATTTCTGCAGCTGTCCTGTGAGACCCTCAGATCTTCCATATGGCGTCAAAGTTTTTGTGGAGAAAAACTGACACAGTGTGAAAGTCAACTCAGCCTGAAGGACCTAAATGGAGTCTTTCAATTGGTCAATATTGTCAAACTGAAATGACCATGGACACATATAGTGCCACACTGACTCTCAACAGAGAGATGATTTTTCAGCCAGAGCTGGTTGCACTGTTTGCATTAGGTCATGTTTCTTCAGTTTTGATGATTAATTTCTTCAACCGGTGGGCAGTTTAATGGCACAACTTTCGCTTCTTATACGGTGAGTTTGTCCTGACTCTTTTAACCAAGTACATAATTTCTGATTCTCTCCTTTGTTCTACGTTTGTCTTTAAAAAAATCACATCTCTTATCAAAGTTTTGCAGTCTGTAGTGGAAGCATTCAGAAACTGCTGCATATTGCAAGCATCAGAAATCTGGGAAGCTAAAATGGGAAGAGGCTAAGGAGTCAATATATGCAGAAAGACTCTTGTAGTGGAGGAAAGCAGCAAGAGGAAAGAAAGCTGCTCTGACAACACTGAGCAAAACCAAGAATAATTTCAGCAGTTCTGGCACCACAGATAGAAGAGGACAAAGACAAAAAAAGATAAAAGAAATAGTAGTCCTGGAAGAGCAAGTCTCTGCTTATACCCTGAAAAGTCTCGATTTGGCTGGGGTAGGTTATTGAAACAAAGCAGTCTCATCTCTGCACTGCCAGCTGTGCAGGTTAATAGTTGGGGATTTGAAACACATTTGTACTACTCACATGGGCATAACTCAGAAAGAAAAGCTGATTGTGTGTGAACTCAAGGCCTGGCAGTAAAGGCTCTTCTTCTCCTCCCCTCTTTTCTGTAATCCATCTCCTGTATGCCTGATAAGAAAGATATACTAAGTGCCTTTCAGCAGCATGGAGCCTAAACAGCTTTTTCCTTTTACTATGTTTCAGATATTTTTCATGTACTTACCCTGAAAGCCTCTCGCAAACCTCCATTATCTGCAATGTTTTCTGCCAAAGTCCTCTTGCCTTTCACCTGGCAGAGTGGAAGGACATCAGTCATTTGACCCATTTCTGAACTTCCTTCTTGATGAACTTCAAGAAGCAAGGGAAATAATAAAACAAGGCAAGAATGACCTGAGCCAATTTCAACCACCATATCTCTGGTTAAGAAAACTGGGTTTCAGTGTGAAAACTTGTCAGTAAACAATTTTCTGTGATGAGTTATCCTGGCTCTGGTCCTAGATCTCTGTAGCACAAAATGTAATAATACACTCAAGAATACAGTCCTTGATCTTTGATCTGAGCAGTAATTTTCTCCTGAAGACTGTTTTTATCTGGTTACTCATGAGAGTAACCTAGCCCCTTTCTTAAACTTTTACCTAAAAGGTTTTATTTGTTTCTCTACATAACTCTTTATGGGATGATAAAACTAACTATATTATATAAACCTACTGGCATGCTAAAGTGACCTTTAAGTCATAACGTAAACCAGCATAATTAAAAATAACTGTCTGAGACAGAATTGAAATTGATTCAGTGCTCTAAAAATAGCTGCAAAGGAGATTTTCCCCAGTATTAATTCCAAAAGCAAGAGCAGTAGCAACAAGAATATACCATGAGAAGCAGAGCTATCTAAACTTTGTGAAAAAGCCAGTCTCCTGGTATTACCAAGTTCAGTATCATTATGAAGAAATCCTCGTTTCTGCAAGTGCAGCATTATCTCTGATCACCTGGCCCATTAAAGTCTTAGTGTTACTAAACTGTATTTGTAAGCAGTTTTATTCTCTACTGTGCCTCAAATAAGCACAGTAATCGAGCACTTTTGAGCAGAGCTCTGAAGGTCAATGCTGGTCTGCAGATCCTCTGACGATAGGGTCTCCCATGCTGCACGGATGAGTATAGGAGGGGTTAGCATCAGTGCTCACCTTCATTTCAGGACAGTAAAAGGGGAAAATGGAGAAGAAGTAAAAGGACCTAGGGTACACCCAGGTGCATGTGCACAACCCCAACAGTCAGTGCAGACAAGCACCCAGACTGGACTCAAGGCATCTTCCTCAAGGGTGTAATAAAGGAGACATGGGAGCAGTAGATTAAAGTGCAACCCTCTCCTATCAGCTTTCTCTCCCCTCAGGAGGCTGGAGATGGAGGTGGGAGAGAGGCTTTTAGGATAAAAGAGGCTAGGACAGCAGGCAATACTCACACACTGCCTTTTTTCTGGCCTACCTACTTATGCATTTTTTCCCACAGTGGGCTCGTGAAGTAGACTGATCTAGAGCATAAGATGAGAGCAACCCAGCAGTGGCACTTGGGCCATAGGTCATTTTAATAAGTGGAAGAAGTCTTTCTGCTCATCTCTGGCAGCTCTGGGTCAGGTATCTGAGACTACTCCGTACAGACAGTTCGTGACAGGCCTCAGGGACCACTATAAGCCCTTTATTTGATCAGATGACTGTATGTGATTATTGCACTCTGAAGCTATTTCTGTATCCACTTTTTCTTTCATTATGCTTCTTTTCTGGAGACATTTTTATTGCAACTCAATGAGAAAGAAGAAAAATAAATCGGTTTCTTGATCCATGAAAAATATTCGTACAGGGGTAAAATACCTGTAGAAAATTGATGTAAATGACAGACAAAAAAAATAACCACTCTTTGCATGCATAGCTCCTTATACAGAAGCTATAAAATATGGCAGAAAATATGAAGATTCTTCTTCTATCATCTAAAAAGTATTTTAATATATCCCATGGAAATAGGAGGAAAAAGCCTTGCAGATGACAAAGCTGTGGATAACAGGATCTCTCTAGTAAGCCCATCCACAGAGTTCAAAGGCAGTAGCTATACTGGAAGGGAAATTCAGACCTACCCCATCTGAAGAAACACCATAGAAGGTAAATGGGATGGCCAAGCCAGCAGCAGGAGCCCTTGGTGAAGGTTTTAATGATCTTCTTTAAATGGAATTTTTGTATTAACTGTTTTTGTCCTGGAGACATTCAGGAATGAGCCTGAGAATTTTTAGTTATTAGCTTATTAAATTAGCTTATATGAAGTACTTCAAGACTGAGTTGTTGGACCTTAGACTGAACTACAATACGGCTTTCTTATTGTTGAGACTAATATAAACAGCCTAAGGAAAGTGTTAAAATTAAGGCTAAGCATTCAGTGTGTCCTCTCTGTTCTTGAAAGACAAACACATAACTGTATTTCTGATTCTAAAATGTAAGTAGAGGTGGTAGAATTATGGAGGGGGTGGGGTATGTTTTTTTACCTGAAAATTAAGATTAAAATCATGTCCCTGCTGGGAATTGGAATTTTAGCTATTAATTTCTTAAGGTCAGGGATTTAACCTGGTTTAACTTTGTCTTTGGCACTCTATAATGTGCACATTTTCAGGGAAGCCCATAGCTCTGATAGACAATGAAACGGAAACCATTCCTTTGCACCTTCTTTCTCCATCTTTTTCTATGAGCTGCTGCTATCATACTCTTTCATTTGAGATACAAATTGGGTCTGCATGCACACATGGAAGAAATAGCAAGAGCTGAATCTGAAATAGAGTTTATGCATCCATTTTATAGCTGTAATAAATAACAGGCGGAATTGCTAAAGCAATCTATAAAACATGATATTATGTTCTCCTTTTTAAAAAGAGTGACTGCTCAGTTTTCATTACAGACCTCATCTTCAGAAGACATTTAACATGCTCACAGTAATTAGACCAGCCCTGATGGGTGGCTTCATCTTCCTCCTCTGATTCCAAAATGATGTGATGTGGAGAAGTGGTTTAACCCTGTCACCAAGGTGTGGCTAGTGGTATTTGACTGGACTAATCAAATCTGACAGACATTTTTTTTTCACAATTATTCATTTAAAAAAATGATTTGTTGTGAGAAATGAAGTTGGTAGACTAATATCCCAATATACTGGGATTTATAAAAACATAACTTAAAACCCTCCCCCCACGCAAAAAAATCCCAATTTAAAAAAAAAAGCCCCACGCCCCCCCCAAAAAACAACAAAGAAACAAACAAAGAAAACAAAATAAAATAAAATAATAATTAAAAAAAACAAAACAAAACTCCTTGTGCATCACTGCTTTCAATCAGTGGTATTTTACATACATGCAAGCCAGCTCTCTTCCAGTAGTAATTAGTGTACTGATTAATCATGCATTTTGTTTTCTCTTTAAATTTTTCTTCAGAGTCAGTTGTCCACCACGGGTCTAAATTTCCATTTTTGTCATATTTACGGCCTTAAAAAAAAAAAAAAAAAAAGTTTTTGTAGGAGACAACCCCATAGTTTTCCAGTTTTGGAATCTATCACCTGTACAGAAATTAGATGCTAATGTACTCACGCAAGTGTGTGTACAAAATGTATAAAATCAGTGTACAAAATCCTGATCCCACTCAAGTCAGTGGTGAAAAGATGGCATTCTATTTATTGTAATAATTTCCATGTTTAGAAAGAAAAAATAGCAAAGACTAATGAGTTCTATATTTTATAATTGCATAGTGTAAGAGGCATATGAGCTTTCTTGTAACTATAATTGTGAGTATTTTTCATCCTCAGCCCATATGTCTCTGTTTCTGCAAACCTGATGATAACTAATTTGTTCTTAATTAATTATACGCTTGACCAGAAACAAAAAAAATCCATTTGACGGAAACATCTGAAGTTTCAATTTTTTGCCTTGGAGCAAAAACAGAACATTTGAATCCTATTCAAGGAAGCAAGGAGAATACACACATCCAATTCCCTAGGCTGATGGTTACAGCAGTGGCTCATGGAAAATAGGGACTCAGGTCTCTGCTCTACCACATCTGTAGGAGAGTAATCTCCATCATGTCTCTAGCCAGTCAGACACAAGACACAAGATATGTTACGACTTCTTTTTGAGAGCAGGTTTAGCTGTCCATGTGGACACAGACTTGCTCTATGATTTGAGTCTTCATTACGACTGCAGGAAAGGGAGGTAGGGAGAAACCAGTGGACATGATACCAAGTACTGAAGATGCTTTAATTAATTTTTTTCTTTCTTTAATTTTTCCCTATGAGTTCTTTTGTTCAAGATGACAAAATCCTTACAGATGTATTTTATTTCTATATTCGGAAGGTAAGAGCCTGGGCAAGAGGCAGTAGTCCACTTAGGGAGTCAAATCTTATGCTCCTTGCTGACAGGCTAGAGACATGATGGAGATTAGATAATCTACAAATGAGATACGAGTTTGGAATAAACATTTCTCCATTCTGGAGTGTTTGCTGACACAAAACATTGCATAGCAGTGCCAACAGGATACAAGTTTTCCCTTTTATTCTTTAAAAGGTATTCAATGTGATGAAACATAAGCAACCTAGCTCACTAGTTAGGCAGTGAGACAGAAGCCTTCTTTTCCTTAAACTCCCTGTGTTTTCAGTGGCAAGAGGTTTCTCTTGACAATGAGTCACAGTGGAATGCCAGCCACTCTGAACTGCTCCCTGGAGGAGGAGGAGGTTTGTGCTTCTATCTCTCCTCCCCGCCTTCTCTCTCAGGAGCCTGATTTTAAAAATAACTTTATTATGATAGCCGAAGTTAGATGGTGGTAATGCCCTGCTCCACCCAGTTCTTCAGGGCAGTTGGTTTGACATTTTCAGACTATTTCTTTTTTCTCAATTTTATATATATATATATATTTTTTTTTTTGCAATAGGTTTTCTATTCAACTTTTGTTCCAGTGTTGTATTTTAATATTGGTACATAATCATCTCTTGGAAACAGTCAAAATGTAAATTTTCTTGGAAGCAATTTTCATCAATCAGAAGTTATCCCTTTACCCTTCCCACTCTCCCCAGCCAGGACTTTCTGAATCTCTTAGTTTCCATTCAAGATAAGCATCAAACTTCTGGCACAACTTACCAAAAAAACTCCATTCAGACAAGCAAGATTGTAAATAAATTTAAAGATACGACTTTTTTTTTTTTTTACACAATTCAGCACTCTTAACAAAAATAAAATAAAATAAAATACTCACCATTGCTATCAAATCCATGAGTGAACTCATGGCCAACAATTACTCCTATAGCACCGTAGCTTAATGACCTGCAACACAAAGAAGCAGTTTCCTCAGAAAGTGTCAACACTCATAAATGTTAAAGGACACCAAAGATTACTATTTATTTAAACTGGAGGAGAGGAATGGGTCTAAAAATCATACCTGCATGATTTTGTTGAAGTTGTTGAAAGTCTGAATGTTAAACTCTTATTTCTTTGAAAGCAACCTTTAATATAAAACTTTAAAAAACATTCTTCTAAACAATACCCTTATTAGCATCACGTGAACTCCAAAATGTATCCATCAGCTTACAGCATTATGAGTATCCTAACTAAGAATGGGACAAAGTTCCAGGTGAAATTATTCTCTTAATATCATAATGAAAAAAGAATAAATCAAAGGCTGCAACAAAGAGACTTGCAAATGACTGACGCTAGTTTGTAAGTCATTAAACAGATCTCCCTTCAGTCTTAAAAAGAGAGTTCAGGCACTTTCCTTGCACCTGCCGAGGAATAGGACATGATATATAGCCAGGTCTAATGCACTGGTGAAACAGAATAGAAAGGCATATTTTGCATTCCTGATTGACAATTACTTGTATTTTTCTTGTTATATCTAAATAAACATACAGCAGGGAGAAATAGGGATGAAAGAGAGAAAGGTTCAGGGCTGTTTTTATATAAATGGAGTGGATACTATGGGGTGAAGTGATCTACTAAATGCATCTTTCATATGTTATGTTGTTCTTTGTGATTTTATTTATTTCAGTTATTAAGATGCCATGCTTCAAAGTAGCTTATAGTATTTCTAACACATTGTATAGAAATAGGAGAAACGCAGAGGGTTTTGAAGTAACATATTATTACTGGACCTAATGATCCATAGCACACTAATTACTTATCTAAGTCATGCCCCAAAAGTATTATTTAATTCCCCCTTCTCCCTTGACAATTCTTCACTTTATGTTTTTCTTTTCTGAAAAGTAATTTGCATGTGATAAAGTCTTCCCTACTGGGTTTTTTTCCCCAAGTACTATTGCAAACCTTTACTAAAATTATACATTTCAGGAAAGATCATCCTTTTGTGTGATAAATTTGTAATCTTGTGTAGCAGAGTGATAGTTACCCATACTAAATGTACTATTTAAGACTTGTTTTCCATATCTGAAGTCATTATACAGGATCTTTTGCTGCTGGAGAAGTATAAAAAGAATGGCACAAAACACATGAAGTCAAGAAGAACCAACAAGCCCTAATAAAAAATATATTTCATTTTTCCTCTAGGCTACCCAGTCATCAAAAGTGGCAAGGACAAAAACACAGGCTAGTGCCCAGGCACTCTTAGGGTTCCCCCAGCTCCAAAAGACAGGGTGAATTCTGGTCTTGTCTTCTGTGAACCCCTGTTGCATTTTGTCCAGCAACAGTTTTGCTAGAAATGCTCCCAGATCTGTTCGTGCTCTTCATTTCTGAGGCACGGCTGGACAGAGATGGATGGGATTATGTGCAGCCTGACAGGTACCATATTAAAGGTGAACTTTCTGGGTCTGGGGAAGCTCAAGAGGACTGTAAGAAAGCTAGCAGCTCAGGTAGTTTGAAGTCTATTTCAATATGTCTGACGCTGAAGACTCCTAACTATGAATTTGAATGATGTTTTGTTTCATGTACTGAGATGTGAAGTGATAACTTAGCTTCCCTTTATGCAAATAGATGCAATTGTTTTATAGTGATTACGCTGGAACTGGACACTAAAATGCCACTAAATGTTAAATATTTGCCAAACTAGTTTTCCAGCAAGTGCTGATGACTTTCTGATGATTTTTCTGTTCCAGTGCCATGTACTGTTTCTTTTAAGCAGACAGAAAACAGATCCAGAATATTTCAAGGACAAAAAGCAATCTGTTGTCTGATATAAAACAGCTACATTTGTTTACTAAATTTCATTTTGATACTTACTCAAGCAAAACCAATTTAAGCTAAGGTAACCTTTAAAGAAGAGAAATGAACAAAGTATAATTCTTTGAAAGAACCACAATTTTATCTCTATTGCAGAAGGTCAGGGTACAGAGAAATCTCTTCAGAAAGCAAGGCTAGAAACAGGTCTGCAATATGTACAGCAAATAATAAGTTCACCTTAACAAGAAAGGACTTTCTTCAATCCCCAATTACCACTTAGAAAGTTACCTGGCTCATAAGAATTCTCTTCGAATGCAAATTCATTTGTTCCTAAACTGAATGTGTCTTTCTATGTATATTGCCAAATATCCTGTATATTAGGACACATCCAGACTGGAAGATGGCAAACCCAAAATGTTAAAAAAATTAGATTTTTTTTTTTTAAAGAGAGGTTTATTAAAGATATGTTTCACCATTAGCTAACTTTATATAACTGCAAAATAACTTTCAGAATGTGCTGTCAGAAACTTTCCACGGTCATATCCTACCCTGAAATTGAAAGATATTGAACTGCATAAAAGCAGTGACTTTTCAAAATTAAATATATGTGACCTGTAATTATTGTTCTTTGGCTATAGTAGCACGTAGGCCTGCTCAGTCAATCACTTATGCACATGGAGATACTCTCATGTACCTCAACAGGCACAGATGAAAGCCCAATGTTAATCTTAGATATTAGCAGAAAATGAACAATAAACTGATAATAAATGGCTTCTCGGGGTATTCACTTCTGTTCAGGAAGTGTTAGTTATGTGATTTACAATTCCTTTTAATACCTGCCATATGCACACTGCTGCAACTGCATGCTATAGCACTGAAACACATCCACTTCAGTGCATTTAATCATCAATTCCTGAGAGAAACCAATCAGTTTAAGACAACAGCAACATAGACAGCTCCCAAGGGTAAGAAAAGTTATCCCACAAAGCAGCACTTTTCAAAGTATGTTTTTTCAATAGTAAAAGCAAGATGCAGCAGGGAAGAACTCACAGCCCAAGGACCAAGCTTTCCCTACAGAATGATAACACAAAATTCCTGTGCACCACTTGTTGGTGGTCTTCAGCAGTGTAACCTTCTTCTCCATGCCCTCTTCTTTGTGTATATGTATTTCAAATCCCTGTTATTCCTCATTTCCACTGTATGAGATTCCCTGATGCAGTACTTACCTAGGATACTCTGTTCCCCAAAAGAAAGGCTTTTGAAGTTCTCCTGCTGGGAATCCTGCAAAACAGCGATAATGACAGTGGGTTCAATACAGCTGAACAATAGCTGTATAACACAAGACCCAAGGGTTTAGATTTTATGACCTTTTTTTTTTTTTAACTTCAGAAGGTTTTGCTAGAGGAGCTTACCCCCAGGTGATAGTTACAGAGTGAAGTAGAGAGGATCCTTGAGAAGAAACAGAGATCCTCCCTTCCTCAGGACCACAATGGTAACAAGATGCTGCACTGCAAGAACTTAATTTTCTTCCAGGGCTACATACACGTGTAAATGCATGCGTGCCTGTGAATAAACACCTAGTGTTTCCTGTGAAGAAAATTGTTGGGTTGCTCTGAGATATGCTGACAGATCAACAGGCAATATATATGTAAAATACAAGAATTCAGAAAGTATTAGTTTAGTGAGGCTTCAGTGCAGCAACAGACTGCTTCAAGGTATGAAAGTGATAAAATGTAAGCCTTATTCTATACATTCTACTAAAATCAAAGGTAAATTAACATAAACTAGTCATCTCATCATAAAAAGCTGGTCAAGGAAACTGTTCCCAGGATTTACTCCATCTTGTACACAGGGACCACTAATGTGAGGCTGACTAACCTGTAGCTCCCTGGGTAGGAGGTAGGAGTGACATTTGCTTTTGTCCAGTTCTCATGAACCTTCCCAATCACCACAACCTTTCAAAGATATTCAACAGTGGTCTTATGACGATGTCACAAGCTCTTTTAGCACTCAGGTGCACCCTGCCAGATCCAACAGACTTGTGTCTGCACAGTGTATTTAAATACTCCCTAACCTTCTTCTCCTCCACTGAGGGGAAGTCCCCTTGATTCAGATTTCTGCTCAGGTCTCAAGGGCCTGGGATTCCTGAAAGCCAGTCTTACCAATAAAGACTGAGGTAATAAAGGCATTGTGTACCTTGGTCTTTTCCATGTCATTTGTCACCAGGTCTCCTGCCCCCATTCAGCTGTGGGACCACGTTTTCCCTACATTTTCTTCTTCTGCTGCCATACTTGTTGCACTTCATATCCCTAATAAGATTCCAGGTAGGCTTTGGCTTTCCTAACCCTGTGTCAGGACCTTTGGACAGTGATTCTTTGCTGAACTTTCCCCTTTCCTTACTGCTCTGGAGCACAGGGGCATTTTAGGCAGCGGAGTACATCTGGTTTACTTCAAATATTTCACTCTAAATTTATGCTGATCTTGAAGCTCTGACAGCACTCTGCACTGGACTATTTTTAACTTAATTGAAGGTTTCTAGCTTCATTTTCTCTGTTATATTATTTTTGGTCTCTCTCCTCAGCAAGGTGCTATGTTTCAGATTTGAAAATCTGGGGGTTTTGTTCAATTTTACAAGGGATTTACTGCCATTAATGAATTCATTTACCAGCTAATACCTTCATGGTATTGTTATATACATTTTGCAGATGAACACCTTGAGACTCAGTGTAATATTGTTAATTCACTGAGGAGACACAATCACATTTCATGTGTTAGTTTAATGAAACAGTGCAGACTAAGAATAGATGAAATGAACTAAAAACACATGACATGGCTCACTAAATCATGAGGAAATTTGGAGTCCAAATCTAAATATGAATTCAAACTCTATAGTTCGATTACGTTATTCGGTTATATTGCATGGTATTTTTAACTAAGAAAGACAAGATCTACTAAAGCCTTATTCCAAGTTAGTGTGCTTACAATTTCCAATATTAGCTGGCTTCTTTAAAGCAATTTCTGACACGCTCGTGAATCCAGTATGTAAACAATGGATATGGAAGACAGCTGTGCTAAATTGTGTGATATACAGGGTACTCTGACTGTTGTACTGGCAATTCTCAGATGTGTTCAACAGCTGTAACTTGTTTTACAAGTGTCATTGAATGAATTCAGAGGGAGAATTTTAAGGAGATAAGATATAAGCAGAAGGCTAACTGCTGGTCAGTAAACAAAGGATAGTGATTTCACATAAGGAATCAACATCAAGACAACCAGGGTGTTTAGTTACCTAAAAACAGCATGAAAGGTAGGATACATTTGTTTAAAATGGTTCCACAGATTTCTGTTTGAGCAACTGAAGCTCTTCCCAGTGCCTTTTGGCTTTGCATATCCTGCCTGGGCAAGGGTGTCCTGCAAGTTCTATCTCAAATACACCAAAATGATGAAACATTATGGATGCTGTAAAGCATCTCAGACAATTTGAGCACCCATATGTAAGTGATCAGGATCAAAATCTCTGTCATAACATGGACCTGAACCCTATGTTTAATTTCAAGTTTTGTGGAAAATGAGGATAGAAAATATAAACTGTGTAAAGCAGAGTAACTGTTCCATGCTATGTGTGAATACAAAGCTTAACTTTCTGATGAGTAGGAAATAAATTCATTAACAGATTAAAAGAAGTGGTCATCTTTAAAGCAGAGGTCTCAGCAGCCTCTGGTTAAATTCTTGGCTTAGTTTATGCTCTACCTGAAAAAAAGCTCTTTGTGCTTATGAAAAAGTGAGAACCCAAGTTTCCCAGCCTCTCTGGGAGAATGGCTTGTGAGGGGGCAATGAATACTGTACACTAAGAGACTAGGAAACCTGTGAAAATACCTGTTTTTACAAGAAACTCTGACCTTTATTTTCTGAAGGAAAAAACTCTCTGGATTGCCTAGAAGAAGAAGGAAAAAACCCACCAAATAACCAAACAAAAAAACAAAATAAAACAAAAACCCCAAAAAAAAAAACAAAACAAACAGAAGGAAAAAAAACAGCAAAGAAAATGTTCTCCTATTTTACACATTTATAGACAAAGCTCTTAGGAAGAAGAAATAAAGGATGTAAGGATTGTGCATCATGTCACCTGTGACTGTAATTAAATAAAAGAGAATATTGGTCATTAGTAAACAGGGAAATTGAAATGAAGGCTCACTTAAGAACACTTAATGCTTACTTAATAACAGGGCTCAGAAAGTGTTCAGTCCAAAACTGTTTATTAACCTCCTGGAAACTAATGGCACACTTGAAACTACTTCATCAATAACCTACCAATTAGTCTAGTTCTTAAGAGAAGAGAAAGGGCCCCTATGAGCAGTTCTCTTGCCTTCCCCTTTGCCAGCACTTCCCTAGCTCCTGTAAGAGTTCTCCCTTGCAAGTCACAGCATCAGCAAGCTGCCAACATCAATATCTGTTTGCTGCTTTCTATAAAGATGATACTTACTGGCTAATATGAGCTCTCATCTGTGGTTCTCTCTATGGATGCTAATTCAAAAGTAATTTTAGAATTCTGGTTTAGATTATATCTTCTTCCTGTAACATGTAATGAAGCTGCTCTCTAAAGGGGCCTCTTGACTTTCACTAGAGAACTGCAATACAAGCACAGATGACTTAGAAGAAGCATGGGTATAAACTTACAGAGATAATATCAACAATAGTTAATTAGCCAATACATCTATTCAAGCTTATACCTCATGAATGTGTTGCTTGTATTTTCCTCAGTTCACTGTAAATCTGCTTTTCATTGCTGTTCACAACCCACAAATGGTACTTTTTTTAATATATTCTAGAGACATACAGATTTACACTTGGAAAAAATTAAATACACCAAATGTCTAATGAGCAATTCCCTTATATCCTTAACATATTCAAGGACCAAAATTTTTGTGCTGTAATAAAATAAAACCTTTTCTCCAACAGAAGTATGCTAGCATACTTTGATTATCACTTTCATCTATTTTCAACACATATCTGTTGACTGCTTTTGGGTGCATTACAATCAACAGAGCCTTTCAGAAAATGTTTTTGTATTCCATTTATGATAGTTAAAAAGATAGTATTCATGCTGCTTAAACTATAGGAAGTGCACTTAGACACCTTTTTAGAATCTAAAGGCAGTGACATGTCTTTTTTATTTTAAGTGCCCATACATCTGGGGAGAAATTGATGAGCAAAAACAAAGAAAATGAAATAATTATCCAAAGTAGGATTAAAAAAAATATTAACAATCATTAGAACCTGCATGGCTATTAATCTAAGACACTTTATATTATGGTAAAAGAGGAAATAAATAAATAGAACTCATGTAAAGAAAACATCAGGAGTAAATTTGTATAATAATAAGATAAACTATATGTACCACTTTTTAACTCTGCTCTTTCCAGCATATCTTATGTTGATACATCTACTTATTTCTCCTTTGGATATATTAACAGAATTGTTGTCCATTCAAGTTATCAGTAGTTTAGTAATGAAAACTAAATGAAGCAATAGCAAACGTATGGCTGCTTGCACTGAAGTGCAGCAAGATTTGTTACAATTTACTGCATATGCAAGTTTTGCTGTATTCTCAAAAATCTAATAATTTTCTAAATTTTCAAGTTTCTACTCTCTATTAATTTCAGTTTTAGTGAAGAGAGACCTTTTCTTTCAAGTAATGGAGTAGTCAAGTGGTCAAGTTAAAAACACTAACACTTTGCCTGTGTATGAAGATTGCATAGACTTGTATGGAGATTGCAGTGATTTCTTGTTTAAAGCCAAATCCAGTGATACAGACTACAGAGACAAAAGAGCTTCTAATTCTTCCATCAGGAGTGTATGAGAGACCTCTCTGCTCTCTGAGCACAGAAAGCAAAAGCAGCTTCCTAAAATTCAGATGTGATCAGAACCTTCAAGTTCTCCTCCACTTCTGCAGGTACCTCATGACAGCTCCTTTTCGGGCTCCATGGTTCAAGGCACTGATGTTGCTTTTTCTCTAAACTCTTTCACAAAGCCTTCAGTAACCAATCAAGTTTAGAGTTGCTGTGGTTATGTTGATAACATCGCACAGTACTTTTCCATTTGCAAACTGAACAGTCTTAATATTTAAAATCAACTTTGGGACCAAGTATTTTCCAGTTAATGTAGAAGCTGCTTTCCAGAAACAATTTTTATAGTGCATTTGCAAATTCTTGTTCCTGAAATTGTCCTTCTTACTAAACCCATTTACCTAGAGCAAAAATAGCAGTAACCAGTAGATGTGTAGGGAAAGAGCGTCAGGCACCTATCTGGAGAGCAATTT